GTACGTACGCAACTCCATTTCTCGAGAACTTCTACACACATTTTACATACACGAACAATTCATAAGTGTTTAAATGTTTCCATGTATGTTCATTGTTTTGTCACAGACATACAATATCATTGTCTTTCTCGCTCGCAATAATGTAACACAGACACACAGACACATACACACACACACACATATATATATATATATATATATATATATATATATATATATATATATATATATACAGGGTGACCCAAAAACAGGAACTTTTTAACAATCCAATAAAACCAAGAGTGATGGAAGAAAAATATTTTATTCATAGTAATTGAAACCTTAAAACATACCATTTAAGAAACAATGATGGAATTTTAATTTTTTTTTAATTACGTCCTGTAGATGGCGTCCTCCTGTACGAATGCATTCTTGAAATCTGCTGTTGAGATTCCTCATTGACTGCTGCAACATCTCAGCTGGGATACTGTGAATTTCATCTTGAATTCTAAATGGCGAAATGTTTACTTGCTCAAGGTCACTGTCTCACAGTGTTGCCACTTGCTCATGCCTGGCAATACGCACGTCAAAAATTCCCGTTTTTTCAGGTCACCTGTATATATATATATATATATATATATATATATATATATGTGTGTGTGTGTGTGTGTGTATATATATATGTGTGTGTGTGTGTGTATATATATATATGTGTGTGTGTATATATATATATATGTATATATATATATATATATATATATATATATATGTGTGTATATATATATATATATATATATATATATATATATATATATATATTTTGAACAATAAGAAAATAAAAAATTAAAATCTTTGGACACACTGGGTTGTAGATTAATATTCTTTCGTTTTTTTTTATTATTATTATTCCGTTTAGATTCCTCGACTAGTTTCGACCGAAATGGCCATCATCGGGAGGAGAAATATTTCTGCTTGCTGGTAGCAGTGAACTACAGAAAATATATATATGCAAGTCCACCATTTTTATTGTGGGATGGACATTCCAGATGACACGTGTTTCCCAACTCAAACACCAACTACGACAATATAGACATTACCTTTAGATTTTGTTGTAGTTCATACTATAGATCTTATTGCAAATACAAAACACATGTTGACATATTATTACTATATTTTAATATAAATAGTGTTTCAATAGCTTGGATCAATTTTAAATGTGTATTAAGTTTAAGCGTCTAATGATTTTTTTTCTTTTTCTTTCAGATTTATCAATTTAAGTCTTTGACAATAATTTCAATCATGGAAAGAAAGATTAACAGCCAAACAACGTGTTAATGTTTCAAGAGTGCAATTGGAAAATTTATTCGTAAATTGAAACAAATTGGGTTGGTGGCAGATGTGAAAACACCATAGCGTGATCGTTTATGCGTTCAGCTGAAAACATTGCAGTGAACAAGAATGTGACCGATAATCCAGACCACTCTATTCGTCATCGCGCGCAGGAATTGAACTTATCCACAACAACGTTACATCGTTTCCAATTTCACTCTCGGTTGGTCGATTACGTTGACCAAAATAATCTCGAAGTGCGCGATATTCATTTCTGTTTGAACATCCATTTTTGTAATAGGCTTCGTTAACTTTAAGATGTTGTTTGATTGTTAATCTTTCCATAATTGAAATTGCCAAAGACTTAAGTTGTTAAATCCTAAAGAAAAAGAAAAAAATCATTAGACGCTTAAACTTATGGAATCCTCCACATCTGCCTGTTATCCACCCCCTACGGGAAGATGCACTCTTCCCCAAATAAACCTTTAACCAATCATCACTTTACTTTTCCAAACTCAATCCCCCATTGGTTAAAAGGGCACTAAAATGTAGCAAAATTGAGACAAACCTTTTTCCCGCGCAGGTCTCTGGAGCCTATTTGGAAACTCGAAAATCTATAAAAATAATTCCTCGACATAAGTCAGACACTGAGTTTCGAGAGATACCAGCAGACCCCACGCGTGTCAACACACTGACTCAATAACCACTACCAACCTCTCAGCAACTCAACACAACTCGCACAATTACTGCCGCGTGAAGAAACTTAACTTAGAATTTACTAAAAAGTGACATCATCACTACAAAACAGTAATTGTACATTCAATCAACTTTAGCCTAGCAGTTAAAGGTGAACAACTCTTCATAACTTAAATCAACACAAACAGTTGTCACACACATACACACTATCACTTGAACTTACACAATTGCCAATTTTCCTTGCAGATATCAAATTATTTTAATTCCATAAACAAACTTAAACTATCAACCTTTACTCACTAAATTTCTGCATGGACGATCTTTGCAACCTTATCTCACTTGCCACATTTAACAAGCAAATTATTATCACTTTGTGTATGTCAAATTCATGTTATTGTTGAAATCTCTAATGACGTTGTTTTCAGTAATTTCTTGAAGTTGAATTGTCTTTTTATTTTTTGTTCGATTTATTTGTTGTGGATAAATGTATTACGATCACGCACATTCTTCGCCTTTACAAAAAATCCCCTTCTGATACATCTTACTCAGCATCGATTCTGCAACAAACTTAATTCATATTTAAAATCGGGCCAAGTTATTGAAACAACTTTTATTATCACATGCTAAACGCGACACTGAGATCCGAACACGTACTGGACTAGCGAAAAATGCATGCCAACAGCTAACCAAGGTGCTTAGAAACGAGAAAAAAAAACGTTAGAAACAAAGAAACGAATGAAGGATTGTTGTGGGGTATCCATCCTCTTATATGCCAGCGAATGCTGGACAAGGGAAGAGAAAACTGGAGGCAAGTGAAATAGCGAAAGAAGTCTTCCAAAAACTAAGCAAAGTATTAAGAAGCAGGAAAAATTCCTTAGAAACAAAGAAAGATTGCTGAACTGCTAAGTAATACTATTTCTGCTATATGGCAGTGAATGCTTGACAATTTCCTCAAAGATGAAGAGTACACGAGAAAACGGAAATGTAGTTCTACAGAAGGATGCTGAGAATGCCGTGGATATGGGTAATGAAGACGTTTTAAAGAAAATGTAAACAAAAAGGACACTTCTGCATAGAATCAGAAAGAGCCCGTTGAAATTTTCATAACACATAATGAGGAAAGAGTGTTTGGAGAATTTGACACGCATGATGCAATGAAGGCGGGAAGAGCAGAGAGAAACTGCTATTTACTTACCTAATGAGCCGCTGTAAACGTATTGTAGAACAAGGACCGGGAGGAATAGCAACAGGAAAACGTTACTTAGAGGTACAAATGATAGGAAGATGTGGAGAGCCATGGTCGTCAACATCCTGACGAAACACGTCCCATAAAAAAGAAACATCTCAGCAGACGAGTAAAATGTTCGGGCTATGAAATTTGAATAGAACTAAAACAACAGTAACCGTCTTTTTATTTGCTAATGTTTACTCCAAGCCAAAGCCGCGTCAATCTATTTGAACTTTATCAATATGAGTAAGTGATGAATGGTTATCTCCAGCCCGGTTAATGGCAGCAATACGTCATTCTTGTAAAGAGAACGTAAAGCAGGGGGAGTCAGATACTTACTGCTGTACTATTTCGTTAACCATCACCCACAATGATATCACCTGAGTTGATTGGACTTGATTTGAACCAAACTTAGTGTGAAGCGGCTAATGAGGAGCGAACTCACTACATCGTAGTAACAAACAAATAAGTTAACCATTACTTAACGTAAAGTGCGCTTAATAAACGCTGGTTCCCAGACTTCATGAATTTAAGCGCCCTACGAGGTTAGCATCCCGCTCTCACCCTTTCACTGTCGAAACTATTAAATGTAGCCGTCTCTTCTACTCCAATAGCTTCATATCTCGCACCTCTCGCTTGTGGAACTCCCTTCCCTATTCCAGTCTCCCTGAGAGCTATAATCTCCAACTATTCAAATGTAATGTCAATCGACATCTCCAGTTGCCTTGATCTATCCACTATCCTTCTCCTCATCCTTTCCTCTATCACTCCTATCTGCTCTCGCTCCAAATCTTCTGTAACCCCCTTGCGTCCTAGTGGCTTCCCGCCTTGCTTGGGGTGAAACGCTTTAAAAATATATATATATTTCATTGCGTCGAGTTTAATCAGGCACTAGTTATCAAATTCGTCGAGCACTTTTAATGATTAGCCTATTAGCACATAATGAGGAAAGAGTGCTTGGAGAATTTGACACGCATGATGCAATGAAGGCGGGAAGAGCAGAGAGAAACTGCTATTTACTTATCTAATGAGCCGCTATAAACGTATTGCAGAACAAGGACTGGGAGGAATAGCAACAGGAAAATGTTACTTAGAGGTACAATGGATAGGAAGATGTGGAGAGCCATGGTCGTCAACATCTACGGCGAGGTTAACTTAATTTTTCGGAGTGTAGGTGCTTCCACTTAAAACGTTATTCATATTTGCAAAACTGATAATTAGTGGGACAAAGAGGTCGTGCAAAAATCCATGGTGTAGTGGCTGAAATGTTCGCATTCTGAGGTTCAATAATAATATAGGCCGATAAAACTGAAACAATATGCTCAAATACACAGCGCGTTGCGAGGTCAAATGTTTGCGATCAAGATTAAACTGATTTTTTTTTTTTAGATTACTGCATTTGGAATTTATAATCGAAAAAATATCCTTAGGATGTTCACCAGGGACTGACGTTGTGAAAATATCAGTGAAAATGAATTATTTTCAGGACTTCAATATATATGCCTGCATATATATGTGAATATTTATGAGATAGAGAGAGAGAGAGTTAGATAAGTGGTAGACATACAGACAGACGAATAGATAATTAGATAGAAATAAAAGACAGATAATTAGATAGAAATACAGACATATAGACGGATAAATACATAGATATATAATTAGATAGATATATAGACAGATAACTATATAGACAGAAATACATATAATTAGATAGACACACAGATAGAGAAATAGACAGACAAATAGACATGCAGATATACATATATACAAAGAAAATAGATAGATAGATAGATAGATAGATAGATAGATAGATAGATAGATAGAGAGATAGACAGAGACAGAGATAGATACAGACAGACAGAACGAGACAAACAGATAAAAAGAGATAGATAGATAGATAGATTGAGAAACTGATAAAGAGTGATAGACAGGCTGATAGAGAGAGAGAGACAGGCAGATAGATACAGTCAAAGACAGAAAGACAGAGAGAGAGAGAGAGAGAGAGAGACAGACAGACAGATAGATACAGTCAAAGACAGAAAGACAGAGAGAGATAGACAGAGACAGAGAGATAGAAAGAGACATACAGACAGACAGAACGAGACAAACAGATAGATAGATAGATAGATAGATAGATAGATAGATAGATAGATTGAGAATCTGATAAAGAGTGATAGACAGGCTGATAGAGAAAGACAGACAGACACAGACAGAGACAGAGAGATAGAAAGAGACATACAGACAGACAGAACGAGACAAACAGATAAAAAGAGATAGATAGATAGATAGATAGATAGATAGATAGATAGATAGATTGACAGACAGACAGACAGACAGATAGATAGAGACAGAAAGGCAGAAACAGACAGTGAGATAAAGAGAGACAGACATACAGCTAGAGAGAGACAGACAGAGAGACAGCGAGAGAACGAGAGACATAGATAGATAGACAGACATGGATAGAGAGAGATAATCAGATAGACAGGGAGAGAGACGGACAGTTATATAGAGAGAGACAGACAGACAGATAATTAGGTTGACAGGCAGATAAAGACTCACTACATATACAACACGGCCTAGAACATAAGCATATAAAATATAGTAACAACGAACCCATAGAAAATATAAATTGGCCGAAAGTGCTTAGGACAACAGTCATTACCGACAGTTTCTACGCTCTCCTATTCCTCATAAAAAAAAAAATCTATATATAAAATGCTGTGACTTCTATCCGTCCGTCCGTATGCCTCATTCTCTAAAACAGCCATACATTGACCGATCGAAACCAATTTTTGGGGTGTGGTAAGTGGGTACAAGTTATTTCTTTCTTTCTTTTTATGTGCCATGTTCTTTCAGGACGTAGGCGATCATGGCTCTCCACCTCTTTCTATCCCTTGCAGCTCTCAACAAGTTCCTTCCCTTTGATTCCTCCCCCAGACCACGTTCTGTCATCCACTTGTTTAAGGCCGCCACGTATGTCACGCGTTGTTTTCCTTTGTCTCGCTTTCTCTCTATACGACCTGTGAGTATCAGATGCTCCAGGCCTTCTTTCCTCATTATTAGTCCCGGAAACTTCAGCTTCCCTCTTCCTGATATTAAGTATAAGCCTCCTCCTTGTGAGGGTGCGTAAAAACCACGAAGTATTTTTTTTTATTTATTTATTTTTTTTTTTGTGAAAGCATTTTCCCAAACAAATCAGCTTATTCAAATTTCATTGATTGGTTTGCGAAATTGAATGAAACGTAGAACGTAGAATATGTAAATCTTGACAAAAAAATGTTATCGATAACTTCAACAATGCTAAATACTGTGAGGATTTCAATACACGTCAGTGCGTTGCAAAAAAACAATTTCTAGAGCTATAAAACACTAGAAAAACTTAACAAAAATAGATAAACAGTGAGAGTTTTTTTTTCCTGATCTATAAACTTATTGTTAATCTTTGCTATACTCAAATTGTCGTCCTGACAAATCGACATTATATCTGCCTCTTCCCAGACTGTTAGGATTCTGTGTGCCTAAAGTTTTAATTTAAATCGTATGCCCTTATTTCATCAGCTTTGGTAATTTTCTCAGATTAAAAAAAAAAAAAAAGCAAACATACACTAATCTCCTTCTTTGAGCACAAAAGACAAATATTATTATCTCTGTTAGCTGTGCCGAGCAGGCTGAGACCTATATCTGTCCGTTTGCCAAGGATATCAGGGGAACAAGCCTCTTTTTAGGAAAAGTTCAAGATAAATCAGCAGAAAATGACTGACAAGTGTATTGTGATATAAACAAAATTCCTTAGTCAGTGCCACTTTTTGTCTTTCATTTCGTTTTTGGAGGGGAGAGCGGTGGACAGAAACTGAAGCATATAATTCTATTTTCAGAGAATCTTACTGTACAAAAGCACCAAAAAGTACCTTCCATGTTTGAAGGAGACGATAGACTTTGACATGCATACATCAACGCTATTCTATATTGCTTAAATAAAAGTCAGCGTGTGCAAAGAAAATATTGATTTAAAAATCCTGACAGAAGACTTTAACTCTTTTATCGGCATAAGACAAAGCCGGTTCGGAAAGGAAGCAGCTATTTTGAATATATCAGGAACTCACTCGTGGGAGATATGCAATCGACAGTTAGGCGCCAGTGAGCGAGGTTGAGTACAGTGTGGCAGATTTTGTTTTTTTCTTTTAGCAAACATTGCATCACATCGTGCTATCATTCTCTCCTATATGCCATTAGATGAACTTCTGGATGAAACCAATGCTAAAACACAGTTGAAAGATATTTCAAACCGTGGTCGAGATTAAGGAGAACATCTCAGCGAAACTCAAATTTCGTATTTTTTCCTCCGGAAGCTATTAAACTAATTAAGTCACTAGAGTCATCGGTTGCATAAGATCAAACCGATTATGTGATATATAGCACTGTCAAATAAGCAGTTTGAATTAAGGAATGAGTTGAAATGTTTAAATACGATCGACAATCTTGAAGTATCTATAAATTAGTTTAAATTAGTACAATAATGTTATTTATTAGGTTCGTGCAACAGTAATGTTGTTTTCTCTTTTGAAGTTGAACGTCAAAAAACGACATTATTTTTGCACCAACCTAATGTTATACAGTTAAATTTATATAATTAATAATGTGTATGTAGAGATTTTCCAAGCGTAGCTTAGATGTGGCACAAGGCCGAAAGTATGGGGCATCCAGTGAGGATCGAACTCACTTTTCAGTAGTAACTGATCTAGCAAGCCAAGGCTTGCTCACCATTACACAACGCCGAGGTGCCCAGATATGTGTGTATGTATGTGTATTTGTGTGATCGGATATTGTTTATGGGTTTTCACAGTTTTCATCCGATTTCGATTAAATTTTTTTTGTTTGATAAATAATTTTTCAGTGGCAGTTTTGAGTCCAAATTATTGGCAACCATGACTCTCCACTACTTCCTTTCCATTATAACTCTCAGCAACGTTTTGCTATTTACTGTCTGTTCTTGGATATATATCTTTCATAAAAACTTTAATAAAAATAAATAGTTTTAATTATTACAATAATATTATTATACAGTTCCCTTTTCAGGGCCACCCCCCATTTGGGGATGTGCCTCAGTTGCACCCAAATGTTGTTACTAATATTGATTTTTGGCTGGGCTGACTTTAAACATAAACTGCTCCAACTGAACGGCAAAAATTCCCAGTAATGAAAGACCCGGACAAACACAGGTTAGACTGCTAGTAATTGTTAAAACTAAAAAGCAGCTGTTGTTTATCGACAGGTTTCCTGAAATAAGAGAATAACAAATACGAGTTTTGTAGAATTTTTATATTTACAACGTACGATGGATAATAGCCGTTTTCTCTACAAGAAAACATTTGGCCTTCATTGGCCGTGAAGCCAGTACTGTTTTCTGTTGAAATTTAAGTCCAGTAGCTTTCCATTATTGATGGGGATTCTCATTGCTAACATTTTGTTTGAAGTGGTGAGCAATGTCAACATGTTGATCTATAACATATTTTTGGTGTACATCCTTATCGATTGTATCAACTTTCATTAACAGTTTGTGACGCTGTATTGATCGATTCATCCTGTTTTATAATAATCACTATGATAAATAATCTTATTGATCAAGTTGACGTTTTACACGGAAATAAATACGAAGCCAATGCAGACTTTTAAAAGTAAAGTTCACCCAATGAAATGCTGGAGACCGTCCTGAGCATCCTGCGTAAAACGATAAACTACATCCGGCATCAAGGCCAGGTGGTTTTGTGGAACGTGGAACCATCACTTAATTGCTGGTGTTCCCAGGTCAACCCTGACCCGGAGTGGTAGAACCTGTTAGGGTCAGCAAATAATTGATCCCAAAAATGGGGTCAAAACACTATGGAAGTGTAAAAATAGGTTTTAATATCAGAAATACTTTTTAAATAATTATTACCAGCAATAGATAAATAGTTTTAATATCAGAAATACTTTGTAAATAATTATTACCGGCAAAAGATTTTTGAAGAAAAATATATTACCAGCAATACATTATTACCAGCAATATATTTTTGAAAAAATATTAACAGCAATACATCTTTGAAAAAAATATTACTAGCAATATTTTTTGAAAAAACAATATATTACCAGCAATACATTTTTTTTTTAAATATTACAAGCAATATATTTTTTTAAATAAAAAATATATTACCAGCTATACATTTTATAAAAAAAAATATTACTAGCTATACATTTTTGAAAAAAAATACTACCAGCTATATATTTTTGAAAAAAAAAATATTACCAGCCACACATTTTCGAAAAACAATACCAGCTATTCATTTTTTGAAAACAGTATTACAGTAATAGATTTTTGAAGAGAAAAAAATGTTACCAGCATTACATTTTTGGAAACAAAAATACCATTTATGTTAATTTTATTGGCATTAAATAACCTATTGAGTTTGACAGACGGTAAAACAAACCAACCAAAACCAAGGCTCAAGAAACACTCAATGTAGATGAATAATTCCAACCAAATCGTAATGCTTAATAAGGCGTACATACCCAATTCCAGTGCCTTCTTAAATCACCTTTTTGCCTGGTACAAGTTACATGAATTCACTTAATACAAGGCTCGAGAGAATTATGTGTATGAGAATATGAAGGATATATAAAGATTGACCCTTGATTATGAAGAGGACAAGACTGAAGGGGTCATGGAAGCAACCACTCTGAAGTTTGTTTAAAAAAGTATCAGTTCTTAAGAAAACTCTCTGAATAGGTCTCACTCCTTATAATGACGCAGAGCATGGCTTCCCTGGTGCGAAAGGTGTTCGATTTGTCGCCGCTGTAGCAGGAAATTCGGTCCGAGACATACGGGCGCGCGTGCGCAAGGGCCGTCATCACACCTATGTAAATGTACACATGCTGCTTAATATATAAGCAGCTACATTACTTGCTAGAGGACAATAGTAATTCCGTAAATTATTCTCTCAAGTAGTTTGTAACACATTGATACTTACCGAGCACAGGGATCCGTCCCTGCGCTGGTAGTATCTCGGCTATGACTAGCGTAGTCCAGCTTAGACAAGCTATGACCAGTTTAGACCAGTGCTCGATTCCCCACGTTAAAAACCGACCTTGTGTCACAACCTGACTCAGTTGGAGTTCTTGTAAATACAAATAGGAATTTCGTAGACGAAACGCGTATTTTGGAGTAGAAATAGAAAGTACACAAGACATAAGGGTTAATTTGCAGTGTAACACCGGGACTCAGTTCGCATTAAAAATTTCCAAAATACTTGCAATTATGTGTAATTGTACATGCTCCTTTCGAATCTGGCTTGATAAATTTAAATCTACCGTTTTGGAGTTATCGACAGTGACAGTTCGCATTCATTCGCGTTACGGGCCGCCTTTACTGGCTTTGTTTGTAGAATAGCTATCAGTTTATGTATCCTTGCGCAAACCGAGCCTGTCTACGTAAATATTTCTCGTGTGCGGTAATTGCGACAAATTTAGACAAGAAAGATCAGTTTTGAGCTTAGCTTGTCGTAGTCTTCCGCGTTTATCTTTCCGAGGCGAATGTATGCATAGAACGCGAGTAATGGCTGCCGCCAACGACACGATTGAATCCCAAATTCCACAGTCGATAACTCCAAAACGGTAGATATTATCAAATTTATCAAGCCAGATTCGAATGGAGCATGTAAAATTACATATAAATGTAAGTATTTTGGAAACTTAATTCGAACTGAGTACGGGTGTTACACTGCAAATTAACCGACATAAGAAATGTAATTAACACACTCCTTATATTTGGGATACGGCTGATTTAACTCAGTAGAAGTAGTATAAACGTTTGGACTGGTCTAACTAAAGAATGGAGGATATTCTTTGATAAGTAAGGCTAATTAAATTTTAGGCAAACTGTCCAACTTACGCTAAAAGTAAGAGTAAAGAGGGGTGTTTGGGAAAAGGATAAAGAGAAGGACGGGGATCAAGGTCAAGGCATCAGAAGATGTCGATTGACATTACATTTGAATATCTGAAGCTATCAGGGAAGCAAGTGATAGAAAGGGAGTTCAACTGACGGGAAGTGCAAGATAAAAAGCTGTTTGGAGTAGAAGAGATGGCTACATTTAGCCGTTTCGACAGTGACAGTCGGACCGAGATACCAACCTAGTAGCACACTTAATTTCATGTCGTTTAGGAACCAGTAGCTCGTCGGAGCAGTTGCCATGAAAGTACTCGTAGAAAAGACAGAGGGGAGCCACAGCACGTTTGAGAAATAGTTACTGAAGACTATGAATTTTGGTACCATTACTGAAGACATGAATGATCTTTTTCCTATCACCATTGATCAGTTGGGAAAACAGTGAATCTGACACAAGATAATTTTACTATCTAAAATATCGGATTTCCTACGCCATGAACGGAGCAGATATATACTTGTTGTAACAGCAAAAGTGTCCAATTGTTAGATTTATCTATGAACCATTGTATCTTCGAAATTATTAAAAATATCTTACTGGATTTCTCCGATATTTTTATGACACTATCAGACTCTACTTTGAGCAATAAGAATGCATATAATTACTCTCTAAGCTTAACAGAAGTATCATAATGAAATCGATCAAAAACGAAAATGACATGTTCATCATTAATGAATCAGAGATAAGAATCGGAAGTTCATGAAGTATTAAAGTAATATTCAAATACTATTTGAGGTTCATTTTCCAACTTATTCAAGATGATCTTCGCCCTCTCTAACCTTCTAACTTTCTGTCCTGTAGTAACAAGTAGCCTCACACGTTTCATGTACGATTTAATTTTCAAGTATTTTTTTTCGCTGCACTTTAGCCTCTGATAGCTGAAACTTCTCTCTCACGCGCCAAACATATTATGAATTGAGTTGGATCTTTTCTAATTAATCTCTTTAGCTCTAAGTTGAAATGGTGATCCCTCTTACTGTTGTGACCTACTGATCCAGTTTTCCTTTCTACTGTTCTCTCTTTTTAAATGTTAATCATCGTTTCCTGGATGGTTCTTGGATGGACATTAAAGATGGAAGTCGGAATATGAATGTTGATACCATTACTGAATGCCTGAATGAGCTTTTTCCTCCCACCATTGCTCATTTGGAATGACAGTGGGGCTGACACAAAACAATTTTAATCTGCTCTCTTTTTGGCTGAATAACTCAAAGGGTTTTTCAGTGATTCTTACGACAAATGGTGACAAGAAACGTCTTATCTGAAAACATGAAAAAAAAAGAAACTCAGTTTTTTGTTTATAGATATTAAATATTTTGTGGGATGGATAATTATGATGTTAAACGATTTGGACAATTTTGATGTTAAACCCGGTATATATATATATATATATATATATATATATATATATATATATATATATATATATATATATATATATATATATATATATATATATATATATATATATATATATATATATAAAAAGCAACCTGACTATTGCGTCCAGCATGAAACAGTCTGTCGCCTCTGAGTGTTAACTTTTTATATATATATTTATATATATATATATATATATATATATATATATATATATATTTACATGTGTGAATCACTAATCGAAGAAAACAAGAGAAAATGCATTGTCTTTGCTATGCGTTCGATTTAGTAGGCATTCTGTTATTCGCGCCAAATAACTAAACTTATTAAATATCTTAGAATGTCTGCTACATCTTAAAGACACTCACTCAAGTCTCTTACACTGAGGAGTAAGCGACCACTGTTTTTAACATGCAGGTTGCTGTTGGTGTGGTTTCCGTAGCATGCTTATTTTCAGTTTTAGTTTCCTAACCCCATGCCCAACTGGTTTTGAATTCGGAGTTGTCATTCTACTAGACTGGTTGACATTCAAGGCTGAAGACTCCCAGTGTTCCCTGCCAGTTAATGCATAGATGGGTGGGAAGAAGAAATTGATTCTTACCTTTCCCCAAACTGAATGCAACGAAACTCGGCTGACATTCGAACTCTGTTCGCCGATTCCTAATTCCGTACCGCTTAATATTACACCATCTCCATCTCAAAAGACTGTCTGCCTTCACCAACGTTAGATTGTACGATACAAAAACAACTTAGAAATCATTTACTTGCCCATACGCGGCTTGTTAATTTCAACTAGTTCATCTGTTTCAGATATTTTAGATATTCCGACAGACCGCCGATTCCCTGATATTTGATTGTCTGTTACATCATAACAAAAAAAAAAAAAAAAAGTACGAGCGTATTGAATATCTGGAGGCCTACCGGAGGAGTGCAAGATTCTGCTTATTCTGAACAACTGCTCCGCCCATCCTAGAACTGAATTGCTGTTTAAGACTAATGCGTATCCAGTGCATTTATGATCTGTTCTTCTCCGTCAGAACCAAGCAAGAACAGCACTCTATAAAGACTCATGATTGATCACTTTATTTCTCAAGTGTCTATTAAATGTAAATTCTGGCAAGCTCTAGGGAGATTTATCAAAAACCTCATATGAAAAATATTTGTTTAATCTTAATTGATAACAGGTCTAATGCTTAAATTATTATCACCATCACCATCATCATCATAAATATCAATATCATCATCATCGTCCTCAATATTATTATCATCATCATTAGCATCATCATCATTATTATAATCACTATTAACATCATCATTATCATAATTATCATCATTATCATTATCATAATTATCATTATTATCATTATCATCATCATTACAATTATCATCATAATTATCATTATGATCATTATGATCATCATTATCATCATCATTAGTATCATCATCATTATCATCATTATTATTATCATTATCGTCATTATCAGCATTATCATCGTTATCATTATCATTATTGTCATCATCGTTATCATCATTATTGTCATCGTCATTATCATAATTATCATAATTATCATTATCATCATCATTAATATCATTATTATCATTATATTCATTACAGTTATTATCATCATTATCATCATCAATATTACAATCATCAGCATTAGCCTCATCGTCATTATAAGATTATCATCGTCATTATTATCATTGACAATATCATCATTATAATATCTTCATTATCATAATTATCATCATGATTATTATCATCATGATTATTATCATCATGATTATTATCATCATGATTATTATCATCATGATTATTATCATCATCATTATTCCGTGCCGAGCTTACAGTGTCTGGCATTCCGGATCCGCCGTGTCAAAGTGATGGAGCCGTAAAATTAACTCACTGGGAATATCGAAGATAAAAGAGATAGGGGTAAGCAGATGACGAACTTGTATGGTGGAATAGGTGACGGGTGTGGCAAGTGGAGAAACACTGCTAAAGGCCACGTGGGATAGGAATTTGTGGAGAGCCATGATCGTCTACGTTCTCACGGGACATAGAATACAATTCTTATGCTCCTTTCAAAGCCGGGATTTTCAACGTCGATTTTCAATAGGAAAAGCTCTCTTCTTGAATGATCGACGCAGTACGGTCTTCCTATCATCTTTCTCCTAATTAGACCTTTGCAAACTAAGATTGATTTAGTCAATATTAAAAGCCACGATATTCACTGTATTTCAAGGCATACAAACGATAAGCACTTTTTGCTAAACAATCTGCTCACCTATTCTAACCATTTATTTTTCCACACTTTAAACAATTTTGCTAAAAGGAGTTGACTTCATATTCTAAGCGAAATTATTTACTCCGCCAATCTTGGAAGCAATCATACAATACTGACGCCTTGCATGAAATAACCATTCCTAAAGCACACGATTTCTGCTAATCGACACCTTAAAGCTTAAAAAAAGGGAAGCAATAGACGTTTTATTTTTATTTTCCTTGAAAACTTAATGTTAGTCGAGGGA